CGTGGACAATGTCTGGGGGGTTGGTTTTTGCAACAAAATAATGTAAACAGTGGGCTGTGGGTGACTGTGGGTGGGCAACGCACAAAAGTAGGCTTCATTCTAACACTTAACATGCTCGTTAAATGTCAAGCGGAAAGTTGCTGGAAAGTCAATGACCAGCCGAGGATTTCCCACACCCCCAAAGCCAGGCGCAAAAACAAAATGTTAAAAAATGTAATAACAATAGCAAAAGTTTGTTTTTCGGAGTTGAATGAGCGCACTTAGTTAGCGCACGAAGGGTTTTCCATGGTGTTGAATACGAATTCCATTGCACTCTTCGCCAGTGAAAAGCCCTTCTCAGGATTTTCCAACACCCCCCTCATTTCGTGACATGTCCCAGGCCGTGGAAAAACAAAAGGAAATGTGATAAATTTTCGCGTCCGCTGGGGAAAATGTGGAACACCAAACACAATCATTTTTGTGCGGCTTGTTATTCGCGGTGGGGAAATGCAATTACAATGCCCGATTTTATATTATTTACGATTCCCCCGGCGACATTCGTTCATTATTTATTCGCTGTCAATCTGTCCATCAACACATTAACTAAACACACACACACCCACTCACCTGCGGGAATTCAGACAAAGGATAACAAAGTCATAGCCGAAAAATACAATGGGCCACGAAATTGTGAGGGAAAAATTAAATTATATATTTAACCATTGCAATGCAAATTTTCCGACTGAATAATAGAAAGGGAAAGCGGCAATGGCAGGTAGCATACAGCATACCAGCCATTTTCCTGGCGCATCGTAAAAGTGCCGAGATCCGAACCGCACTCAAAGAAATTATGCGAAAACAAAACGGCCGGGTTAGGGAAAATTCGTACAAGTGGGGGGAGGGGAGGAAACCAAACAGCAAAAGGAAAAATGCGGAAACAAAAAGGGCAAGTCAAGCAACAACACACACACACAACACAGAATGTGGGGAAAAATCATAAAAGAAAGGCGCGATGCCAGCGACGCGAATGAGCAAACAGCCTTAATAAAAATTTCATTTCCTTAATCAAATGCATTATCAAATTACAAAAACAAAGGCAACATCCACGGAGATACTGGGCGTGGCGGAATAAAAGGAAATTTCGCTCTGCGGCTCCTGCGGTTGGAATGGGATGGGTTGAGGAAAATAAGAAAGGATGAAACTTCCACCTGCCCGATGACAACCGACAGCCGACAACGCATATCCTCGATTGCCACTGCCATGTGGAAAGCTCAGCCCATTTAAGTGGAGCAGATAGCACCAAAGTGTGAGAAGATACAGCTTATGTGTCTCAGCAGATTCAAACCAGATAACTCAACTGAATTTAAAGAAAATGCAAAGATTAAAGGAAAACACTGGGTTGGCCCAAATCTTGAACATGAACCTCTATTTATATTTATTTTGAAAATTGTACTTGGGTAGATTTATACTTTTTCTAATTGATTTAGATTTGATTTGATTACGTAAGATATGTTCGAGTATTGCAAGTTCGATTTAATTGCAGTTGAAATGATTCAAACGTAATTAAAGTTTGGGTGAATTTTTCGACAAATGTATTTAACCGATTTCTTCACACCTATAACCATTTTATAATATTACATAGTCTTTTACTCAAACTTCTAAAAATTGTTTAGTAAAAGTTCGATTATTCCCAGGTACAATTTTTATAAAATACTGCTGGTATTTAAAAAAGAAACAAACTTCTTCTACTTTTCGACTGTGCACTTTGGCTAACATAGGCTTAGTTTTACTGCAATTATTAGAGGCAGCTGATTCCATGCCACCCGTCGTTACCGCCCAATTGGTAGTCCAACCAAGGCTTTGAATTTATAAGTGCACTCCCCACGGTTCCGGCAATGTCCTCTTATTTTCCCACTTTTCCAGTATGTGAAATGGGGGGTGGGGGAGCTTCGAGTCTGGTGCTCGTTCAGCCAACCAATAAACACGACGCTTATTTCGTTATAAGCTAAAAAGTCAATGATTGCATTTGCATTCTGTTGGATTTCTGCATCGAAATTATGCCAACGTCTGGCCCTGGCTCTTCGGCAATCACCTCTTTTTACCACCCTCCATTTGTGTACATTGAAAAAAAATAATATACTATAAAAATATTTTTTTTAATCTATACAATTTATATAAAATTAAAAAAAAAAGTTTCAGTTTTCAATTTAATTTTCTTTTGCTAAAAAATTATCAAATTAAATGTGTGAGGTTTTAATGTCAAAGGGCTTTAAAATTATTACTTTTCAATGTTTTTAATATGTGAGTAACAGCATTACAATCCTTCAAAATTTAAAATAAATCGTATATTAATATATAATTGCAATTTTAAATTCGAATTAAATACCTATTTATTTAAAAAACAATTTTTAAAATTTTATTTTCGTTTTAGGGACATACCTAAAATAGTTCTACAAACATACTTACCCTTACCATTTTTTATTCAAGTGTTTTGGCCGTCTGTTTAGCCTGTTGTTGCCGGAAGGAGGCCGGTGGGTGGTGGGTGTTGGGTAGGTGGTTCCGGGAGTATCTGAATGGGTGGTTGCAGTTCAGCCCGGCAGCTTGGCAACCTCGGCAAGTGCAAAGGCCTTTTGCGTGGCAAGGAAATTAGAAATGGAAATTATTATCGTAATTCGTAATGTTGCTGCTGCTGCTGCTGTAGTTGCTGCTGCAGTTGCTGTTGTTGTCTGTTGCTGTTGCTGTCATGTAATTACACAGCACCCAAACAACCCGAAGAGTCGAGGCGAGAGCGTTGATTGTTGTTATTAGAAGTAGTTTGCTGCTGCTCTTCTGCTTGGCTCCACTCTTGTTTTTGTTGCCCCGGCGAACCGTGGAGCCTTCGTCCTACTGCCACCGCATCCGAAGTCCCCTTCCTTTGGCCTCCATTCGAAGGGAATTTATGTGGCGGAAGCCCCCCCATTTGCTGAATGTGGTGCAAAATTCGACTTTAGTTGGGTGTTCTTCAAGGGGACTAAGTTATCGTTAGAAGTCGGCAAACAGTCGTCCTCAAGGGAAAGTTCTCAAGGGTGAACTAAACTCGCAATCACTACATTTTATTTACAATTTAAAAAATTAAGCGTTTATTTCTGAATTATAGCACAGTTTCATTTAATACCTAGCATCATTAGAAATCGATAAGGCTTTTTCTGTGTTATTAAAAGTAATATAAATAAAAAACAAAATACCCAAATAGTTATTATTTTCTGGACTCAATTTTAAATACTTAATTTAATTTACAATTTAATGGATTTCAATAATAGCTTTTATAATTTAATCGTTGTCCCTCGGTTCATTGTCCTTTCAGAGGGAACATTTCATAGGACCGAAGGCAACTCCCTCGCTGCACAAAAGGTTAATAATCGCCCAGGGACAATGACATTGCGTCGAAGGAGGATCGGGAGTAGGGGAGCCAAAAAGGCAGCAGGACGAGGCCTAAATATGTAGGCAAAGTGCGAACTGCAACCAATCGATAAAAGTAGCTTCATATGCAAACGGGCGGGTCCAAAAACAGGGCCAAGCACTTCCGCTATCTATGCAAAGGATAGCATTCGAATTGGGGATGTGGGTGGTGTCTTTTCTGGTGGGTGGTGCATGCAGAGTTTCCCCATTGCTTCCGCTTTGGTTCGCCCTGCAACGCGTTTTCCACCATTTCCTTAAGCCCCTAAAAAAGAGAACGGGAGGGGGAAATAAAATAAATTTAATTGCCTACTTTGTTGTTGAGCCTGGTTCCTGGTCGTCCTCTCGACTTAACCTGTTTTCCCTGTTACTTTTCCGCCTGCGAAAAGGAAAATGCCGCCCATTGATTTTACAGCGGGCCTGTGCCGAAAAGAACGCGGAGAAAGAATAAATAAATTTGCATTTGGCCGAAGCCAATCGCCCCCGTTTTCCCTAGCTTTATCTCTGGATTTCCATTTCCAGGCGGATTCCGTCTAATTGATTCAATTTGTATTCATTTTGCATGTTCCCGAGGCGCTGCGTTTCTAATTAAAGAAAAACCAAAATTTTTGATATTAAATCATTTACATTTGAATAGCCAAAATGTTCATAAGCCTTGGGAAGGCAAAAAAAAATATTAAGGAAATGTTCCAATGAAATCATTTTCAATAATCTGTTGAATGATTTTGACCAGGGAACGTAACTGTTATAAGTTTTATTTTAAAAATCACACTTTAACAGTTATTTTCTGATTTGTAAAGTAAAACTCAAAGAATAACTGTTATTTTTTGAGTTTTATAATAAAAGTTGACAAATAACAGTTATTCGTCGTGATCAAAATAAAACTCAAACTTGATCTATGGCGATTTTGTGGGTAAACAAAATTTTAAAAAAATATAGGTATAAAATATGCGCGGTTGCCTTTTTTAACAAATTTTTAGTAAGTTATAAAAAGCACGGGTATTATTTTTTTTTAATTATTTCATTTTTTCAAAAATGTCAAGAGAATAACTGTTATTCATAAAAATCAAAAAATAACAGTTATTTTTTGAGTTTTATTATAAAAATCAAAAAATAAAAATCATTACGGATTTGTAAACTACAATGGCTAATAAAAATTGTGGTGTATTTAAAAAATTTTTAGGACCCTTCTAAGTGCGTGATTTTTTTGTATGAAAAATTTACAATAACAGTTATTTTCGTTCCCTGATTTTGACTCAATACCTTATCGGTTTTACAAATTCTAATCTTGCTGTTGATAAGATTATATACTTGATATACCCTAGCAGAGGGTCAGAAACTTGCAGCAGTGAGTAAGACTTACCAGATCCAATAAGGTTTATAGATAAATCACTTGGTGATGTTTATATTTTTTTCTAAAACATTGGCTGTCACATTAAAGGATATGTTCCAATTAATACGTGGCGTATTCTTTTAACTGCAAGTGTATACAAAGTTCGGTTTTCCGCAGTTAGCTTCATATCTTGTAAAATAATCAATAAACCTACCTAAACATTTTTACCATTTAGTTGGCTTTTGTCCGCCGATCACTGCAGTCTATACAGAAATTTTCTGACACTATGAATAACACATGGGTTAAACGGAATATAAAGCTACCAGATGATGAAGATGATTATTTTTCAAAGGCAAGTCTTAGTTACCCCTATATATGTATTTTTAAAACGCATATTTTTTAGGCCAATTTGCGTGACAACAATGAGGTGGAAAATAAGATGGATCCTAAAGTACTGGAACTAGAGTTTAGGTTACGGAAGTCGGAAATGGATTTGGTTCTTGCTAACGAAAAAATTGCCATATATGACGACAAAATTAAGGACAAAAACGAGATTATAGAAACTATAAAAATGTCTAACAACCTATACAAATCTGATTATAAAGAAAAGATTGATATTCAGACAAACACAATTAGAAACTTGGAAGAGGAGTTATCTATAACCAAAAAGGAGAAGCTAAAACTTGATCAAGAAATTGAGAAACTGACAAAGGAACTTCAAGAATCCATGCCTAATAAAAAGTTGAGATCCACGGTTTATTTTCTGAAAGAAAGCGAAAAGGAAAACAAAATACTTATTGCTTCTCTAAGAGCTGAGATAAAGGACAAAACTGAAAGGGAAATGGAAAAGGAAAAGAAAAACGATATATGTCAAACATGTGAGAAATATTCCATTGAAATTAAAGAAATGGAAAGTGTTATAGCTTCGTTTAAAAATCAGATAAAGCAAAAAAATGAATCACAGGAAAAAAATAAAGGTCTAATAGCTTCTCTGAAGGCTCAGATGAAGTTGAAAAATATAACGGAAAGCGAAAGTAAACATCTTATAACTTCCCTAAAAGATCAGATAATTAAGAAAAACGAAAAGGAAATAGAAAATGAAATTCTTATAGCTACTCTTAAAACTGAACTGGCACAGAAAAATAATAAAGATGATGAAAACAAAATTCTTATAGATCAGATTAACACGAAAAATGCTACAGAGAAGGAAAATAAAGATCTTATAGCTTCTCTCAGGAATCAGATAAAGCAGAAAAATGATAAACAGGAAACCAATAAAGATTTAATTGCTTCTCTCAGGGCTCAGATAAAAAAGAAAGATACAGTAAATACTGAAAAAGAAGAACTTATAACATCTTTAAAGTCTCAGATAAAGGAGAAAGAGGATCAGACATACTTTTTAGAGATGGGACTTAACCTGGAATCTTGTAAAAATAAGGAGAAGGATGATCTAATAACTGTCCAAGCAGCGACCATCTTAAAACTCAAATCTGATCTGGAAAATCAATAATTCCCCATTATTCAGGCAGGAATTCAAAAAACTCCAAATATAAATTAAAATAATAATAGTAAAAGTACGAAAATTTGCCGTTGACAGCGACGTCAAGACTTTAGAAAAAGATGTTTTTTAATAAAATAACAATAAAGAACTAAAATCTTTAAAACATTTATTAGTTTCTGAATAATTGGTATGTTTTTAAATAATTCAATTAATGGGTTTAAACACAAAATAGAATTTATATTTAGTCAGTCGGGAACTCCCCATTTTTGTATTTTCAATCTTGAAATACCTGTATTTCAGATTAGAAGATTAGACCTCAAATCCTTGTTATCATAACGGACTGTTATTACGGTATGCACTGGCTGATAAGCTAGACCATTGGGTCACCTATCAGGCTTAACAAGTGCTCAACCTTAACAAAAATTTATTTTTATATGAATATCCTTTGTTTTTGTAGTTTTAAATCATTAACTTTTTGATTCCAAATTAATAAAAAAACATTTACGGAAATCAAATTTGATTCCTTAGTAGACGCTAAATGTTATGAAGAGCTAACTCGTACACAAAAATAAATAGCTTATCTATAAGAATATAATGTGAGTACAAATTGATATGCCTTTTGCGAGGAGTGTATCCAAAAGTAAGTTTTTTGTTACACTTGAACGACACCTTATCGACATAGATAACCATGCGCCAAAATAAAACTTTTTCTTTTGCGTTTAGTCAGTCAAAACATTCGCTTTGATAGGTTGTGACAAGCTAAAAACGATGAACGAATATTCGGTTTTAAGAGAACACATACCAATTTTAAATTTAAACTCTTATTGTATTAACGAAATATTTCTAAAAATTAAAAAAAACTGTGCTTCCAGTAATATCGAGGACGACCTATTAAAGTACAGCGATCTTATTAACTTTGCAATCAGCTGCGAGAAATTTACTAATGCTTTTAGGGAATGGAGTCCAGATCTTTATAAGAAACTTTGTATCGAGAACACATTTTTAAGTATATCTCCGGGAATAGAGATCGATTTGTCACATGTTTATGCCCATATGCATAGCTTGTCAATTAATGAAAATAAGTTATTCTGGAGTCGTTTTGTACATCAGATAAAGGAAAACGAAAAATTAGAATCAGTGAAATTAACCTATGAACCAACTCGGTTCTACCCCGAACATTTTGACAAATTCCAAGATATAATAAAATGCCTAAAAAACAAGGATAAGCTGCGTGAGCTCTCTGTTAAATTAAAAGGTAAGCAAACAAACCACTTTATCGAAAATTGTAAGTTAATGGTGTCGATATTACTAGCATATACCTTTGACCCCGTGCCGCAGATCAATAATCTGGAAATCCTCCATATAGATGCCCGAATAGATGCCCATATCCTAGTGCAGTTGTGCGCTTTAAATCCAAACTTGCAACGACTCACGTTGAGCGAAGTATGTGGCAGATTGTCCTATATAGTGCCACATTGCAACCGACTGGTTCACCTTACCCTCGCGATGAAACAAGGAGTAGATGCCGCGGAGTACGAAACTCTTGCCAAACTGCCGAGACTCAATGAATTAATCCTCCTTGGCGAGCATCAGGAGGGATCGCTGCTGAAGCTGTTCAATGGCTTAAAAGGAAATAGGATCCAAAGGATTTGCATACCAGAAACCTATGTGAGTGACGAAGAGGCTATAGCGCTGGCATCCATCACCTGGTTGGTTTCCCTCAAGTGCTGTTTGCGAAATAATTCGATATATGCTGACCTACCACTTACTGGAAATCTCATAGATATTCGTACATTGGGTCATCCTAAGCCATATGATCCAGAATTGGAAAATGAGAAAGAGGAAGGACGTATAAAATTGACTTATCGGGCAAATCCACTTTTAAACCAAATACCTGATGCGTTTTATCAATCAATGCAATCCAAGGACCCGAATCTAATGTTTCAGGCAATCAATCAAGATTTCGCCAATTGTTCTCGTCTTCGCTGCGAATGTTCGTATAATACCAGAATTTTGCGTAATATAATGCAACTAGCGTCAGCATCTTCACTGTGTTTCATCGTGGAGGTAGTCCTCTATAAAAAAGATCCACTTTCTGAAGAGGAAACTACGATTATGGCTTCCATACCGACGTTGACCACCATCCGATGTTCCTTCGCTCAAATAAAACAGATGATCGCGGTGAAAATTCAGCAGCTGGAGACAATTACTGAAACTAAAAATCGAGTGGATCGAATCCGAACAAAATATTGCGAGATTCGCTTGGTCCATGGCCACGAATCCATAACTCTCATCCTGGACTTTTTCGGAATATTTTATGCGAAATTTCCGAATTTATTCGCCCCTCTTGCCAATATAAAAAATATTAAACGACTTGTGATAAAGGAAAAACTTAAAGGCGGCTCACTAGTACCGCTTTTCAAAGGTTTCACTTCCTTGGAAACTCATACTCTGCAAGAATTGCAAGCTGTATTTCTTGACCCTGAAGAACTCGAAGAGATGGTAAAGATCAGGAGCTTAAGGACGCTTAAAAGCGGTTTCTATTGTTCCAAAAATATGGAAAAACTGGCCGAGCTAAATCACCTCGAGACGCTACACCTCACTGTTCATCCACAGGGATCTCTAGAAGAATTGTTTAAGCTCCTTGCCTCAAAGAAGATTCAAGTGCTTAAAAGTCTCATTATTGAAAGGACGAATCTTACTTCCCAAGAGGTATTAGAGCTTGCTGGCTTAAGATCCTTGGAGAATCTTCAGTTTGGTTTGCCGGATAAAAAAGTTTGGGAACAGTCCTCAGTCAATAAAACACACATAAACGTTAGATATTGTCAAAAGTGTCGATTGCCCCCTAGTTCATCCATTCATGTGGAGCATCAAACTTATGTTCATACTTTGTCTTCTGTACCAGATTTAGAGGCCTCAACTGCTCAATTTAATTTTATTACACAATTGTACGGCAATTTAACACCGATAAACATGGCGCTTTTGGCCGATTTACCGAAGATACGGGAACTGAGTATTTATTCCGATTACAAGCCCCAAACTGTGGAGAACCTATTGAGGACTATTGCCATGCAGGACCCGAAGAGATTAAGAAAACTCTCATTTGCATCGCAAAATTTCAGGTTGATATCCCTTTTTGAAGAATTACAATCCCTCGAATGCGTCGTCTACCACACGAAAGATATTGAGTTTACAACACATCTCAGAAATCTCACCGAGTTGCAGATTAATAATGCCTTGGGAATTTTCTTATGGGAACTCCTCAAGGAACTCAAGGTTTTATTGAATCTTCGGTGCTTGCATTTGGATAATACGGAACTGGAATTTCTAGAAGTAGTAGAAGTAACGAAAATAAATTGGTTGACACGTTTAAGACTTGGGCTTAGCGATAAAAAGTTTATCTTTATGCTAATCCAATTGAAGAATTTGGAAGTTCTGGAAATTTCATCAACTCATTACGCAGCAAAAGATGATGTCAACTTTATTTATTCATTTCTTGTAGTATGCAAAAATATTCGATCAATATCTCTTTATCGGTATTATGACTTTCTAAGTAAAGATTATGTCAATGGAATCATGAACCATATAAAGCTTTTTTAGGGATCCTTACAAGCACCCACCATTCAAATTGCGAGGAGTGTGGAGTGATTTTAAAAGACTAAGCCAGGTGAGCTTTACAATTTCCCGATATTGTTTTTCCTAATCAATTTTATCATTTAGCTTGACAAATACAATATCGAATACCTGGAATTGGAGGGGCTCTATGACAGCTATCAAATTGAAGAATCTGATGCGGACACTAATAATGACATTTTTTAAAACCTTACTCTTTCACCGATCTAGTCAATATTTGGAAAAGTCTAAAACATTTCCCTACAGAAAAATATTACAAGCCTTTTAAATAAAGGAGATTATTCTAATCGTTTGATTGCTTGACTGGCGCCATCCTGCGGTGTTCTTTCAGATCCAAGAAAACATCCTTTTTATCGTTGAAGGGGCGCCATCATACGAGTTTCTATCTTTCCAGGAAAATAAAGCAATCGTAATATTATTGAAAAAAGAAGGGAAACAGTTTGGATTTCACTATTTACAAGAAAACAATGTTTTATGGAAAGATATTTTTGATCGGGGAACTACACATTTTTGTATTCTCAATCTTGAAATACCGGTACAACGACAAATACTTGTTATCATAAGGGACTGTTAATATAGTATGTACTGGTTGATAGCCTAGGCCATTGAGTCGCCTAACTTGTTTGGCCCTCAGCGGTGTAAGTTTATCAAGTGCTCAAAGTTACAATAAAGTGGTTAAATTTCCGTATTTCGTATATATTTTTTATTTTCCCCTTATTTTAAATTTTTTATTGCAGTTTTTAAAATCTTCTTCAACCTATAATAAACAGTTAATTATCTGAGATTGTTATTCTTTTAACCAAGTTAGGGGGAAGAAGCATATTTGTATTTTTTCGTAATTTTAAAGATATTTAATGTTTCATCCAAACTATTATATTTTTAAGGAAACTCAATTTCTAAATCTACGACTATGATATTTGTTAAAGAGTATACAAACATATCCGGAGGGCAAGTTTTTATTATATTTGAACGACAGCTTATCAATATAGATAACCATGCGCCAAAATAAAACTTTTTCGTTTGCGTTTAGTCAGTCAAAACATTCGCTTTGATAGGTTGTGACAAGCAAGAAACGATGAACGAAATTTCGGTTTTAAAGGAAGACATACCAATTTTAAATTTAAACTCTTATTGTATTAATGAAATATTTCTAAAAATTAAAAAAAACTGCGCTTCCAGTAATATCAAGGACGATCTATTAAAGTACAGTGATCTTATTAACTTTGCCATCAGCTGCGGGAAATTCACGAAAGTTTTTAAGGAATGGAGTCCAGATCTTTATAAAAAACTTTGTATCGAGAACACATTTTTGAGTATATCTCCTAGAATTGAGATCGATTTGTCAAATGTTTATGCCCATATGCATAGCTTATCAATTCATGAAATTAAGTTATTCTGGAGAAATTTTTTAAATCAGATCAAGGAAAACGAAAAATTAGAATCAGTGAATTTAACCTATGAACCAAATCGATTCTACTCCGGTCATTTTGACAGATTCGAGGATCTAATAAAAAGCCTAAAAAACAAGGATAAGCTGCGTGAGCTCTCTGTTAAACTAAAAGGTAGGTAAGCAAACAACTTTACCGGAACTTATAAGTTAATGGAGTCGATATTATTAGGATATACCTTTGACAGCGTGCCGCAGATCAGCAATCTGGAAATCCTCCACATAGATGCCCGAATAGATGCTAATATCCTGGTGCAATTGTGCGCTTTAAATCCAAACTTGCAACGACTCACGTTGAGCAATAGCGAAATATATAATGGTAGATTGTCCTATATAGTGCCGCATTGCAACCGACTGGAACACCTTACCATTGCGATGAAACAAGGAGTAGATGCCGCCGAGTACGAAGCCCTTGCCAAACTGCCGAGACTCAATGAATTAATCCTCCTTGGCGATCATCAGGAGGGATCGCTGCTGAAGCTCTTTCTAGGCTTAAAAAAGACGAGGGTCCAAAAAATATGCATACCAGAAACCTATGTCAGTAACGAAGAGGTCTTTGCATTGGCATCCATTTTTCATTTGATTTCACTCAAGTGTTGTTTTCAAAATCAGTCGATATTTGATAATTTTCCTTTAAGAGAAAATATCACTGATTTGCGCTTAATGGCTCGTCCCAACAAATACGTTACAGAATTTGAAAATGGGCAAGAAATGGGTCTCTTCAGAGTGACTCATCGAATAAAAGTGGGCCAAGCGGCTAATGAGGGCAATGCTAATATGTTTGGTGGACTATTACAACAGTTTGATGCGTTGCTTAAAGAGTTATTCTCATATACGCGTATTCGTGGCGAAGGTATATATAATACCAGCTCTTTGCTTAAAATAATGCACACATCACCAGAAACGCGCATTGTGGAGGAGATAGTCCTCGATAAGTATTGTCAAATTTCTGAAGAAGATATTAGTATTATGGCTTCCGTACCGACCTTAACCACAATCCGATGTTCCTTCTTGCAAATAAAGCAGATGATCGCTGTAAAACTTAAGCAGCTCGAGGCGATTACTGAAACGGAAAATAGAGTGGATCGAATCAGAACGGAATACTGTGAGATTCGTTTAGTCCATGGCCAAGAATCCGTGACTCTCATCCTGGACTTCTTCGGGAAATGCTTTGAGAATTATGCGAAGTTATTTGCTCCTCTTGCCAACCTAAGAAATATTAAAAGACTTGAGATAAAAGGAAATTTTAAATGGGGCTCATTAGTAGAGCTTTTGAAAGGTTTGACCTCCTTGGAAACTCACACTCTGGAAGAATTGGAAGCTGTATTTCTTGACCCAGAAGAACTCGAAGAGGTGGTAAAGCTCCGGAGTCTAAAGATCCTTAAAAGCGGGTTCTTTTGTTCCAAAAATATTGATAAGCTGATCAAGTTGAATCAGCTGGAGGTATTAATCCTCACCGTCCACCCCCAGGGGTCTTTAGAAAAGTTATTTAAGCTCCTTGCCTCCAAAAAGTTACAAGTACTTAAGAGCCTTGTTATTGAAAGGACGAAACTCACTTCCCAAGAGGTTGTCGAGCTTGCTGGCTTAAGATCCTTGGAGACCTTGCAGCTTGGTTTTCCGGAAATTAAAGATTGGGAACAGCCTTTAATCAATAAAACAGAGAACCTAGAGGTTGAATTTTGTCAAAAGTGTCGATTGCCCACTAGTTCATCCATTTATGTGGAGCACCAAACTCATGTTCATACTTTGTCTTCTGTGCCACATAAAGAGGCCTTAACTGCTCAATATAATTTTCTAACACAATTGTATGGCAATTTTACACCGGAAAACATGGAACTCTTGGCCAATCTACCGAAGATATGGGAACTGAGAATTTATTTTGCTTACAAGGCCCAAGTTGTAGAGGACCTGTTGACCATGCAGAACCCAAAGGGATTAAGAAAACTCTCATTTGCATCGCAGAACTTCAGGTTGATATCCCATTTCGAAGATTTACAATCCCTGGAATGCGTCGTCTACCACACGAAAGATATTGAGTTTACAACACATCTCAGAAGTCTCACCGAGTTGCAGATAAATAATGCCTTGGGAATTTTCTTATGGGAACTGCTCAAGGAACTCAAGGTTTTGTTGAATCTTCGGTGCTTGTATTTGGATAATACGGAACTGGAATTTTTAGAAGTAATAGAAGTGACGAAAATAAATTGGTTGACAAGTTTAAGACTTGGGCTTAGCGATAAAAAGTTTATCTTTATGCTAATCCAATTTAACAATTTGGAAGATCTGGAAATTACATCAACTCATCACGCAGCAAAAGGCGAAAGCAACTTTATTATATCATTTCTTAAAGAATGCAAAAATCTTCGCACAATATCTCTTTATCGGTATTATAACTTCTTAAGAAAGGATTATGTGAATAGAATCCTAAACCACATACGATTTGTCGAATGTTCCGCCTGCCTCATCAATCCCAGGAGCCCGCCATTTAAATTGCGAGGAGTATGGAGTGATTTTGAAAGTCTAAGCCAGGTGAGATTTTTATTTGGGAACTCTCGATTGTGTATATTTCAAATACATTTTTTATTTCAGCTGGACAGATATAATACTAAATACCTGGAATTAGAGAACTTCTGTAACAACTATCAAATTGAAGATTGCGATGAAGGCATTGAAAGGGAAATTGTATAAATTCTTGATTGGATAACAGCAATGAACTGTAGAAAAAATAAAATGTTGATGATAAAAACGGAAAAGTGTTTAGATTTTTCTATTACAGTAGGACCATTTATTATTTCCCTGGAAGAAAAATGTTCTGGCGCCCGAGTTGTCAAAATGTCCTTCTTATCGTTAAAGCGGCGCCATCTTACGGGAAAATGGCAAAATGGTTTTTAGACCGTAAAAAGGATGAAAATACAAAAATCCCACTTATTATATTTTTTTTATCGTATATCGTAAAAAGGATGCAAATTATTATTTCCCGAGTCGTCAAAAAGTCCTTCTTATCGTTATAGTGGCGCCATCATACGGAAAAATAACAAAATGGTTTTTAGACCGTAATACGGATAAAAATACAAATATCCCAATTACTTTATTTTTTATCGTATATCTTAAAAAAGATGCAAATTATTACCGACCACCATCGTTATTAAATTTTGGAAAAAAATTGTTTTATAACAAGTGCCGCCACTTAGCAAGATTTTTAAACGAGTCCGGGCAGCCAAATCCTTGAAAAATATACGATTCTCGATCTTTCCTCGTTCTGTTATTCGGTGTAAGGACCTTTTAAAAAGTGGTTGACACCCAGAGAAAATGTCCCGTAATATTCAACGTTTTAGGTTCAAAAACAGAATCCAAACTTTTTAAAAGGTTTCAATTTTAAATTAAAATAATTCATATTTTTGTATTTCTATATTAACATTTATTTAATGTTTCTGCAGGTTCGGTTGTCCTAACTTTTTCCCGTTGTTTTTCTTTGCCCTCTTGCTCATAAATCAATAAATATAAAAGCAACAAATTAATTTAAGACCAGCTTTTGCACTTGATGGCTTACAATGCTTACAACACTTATGGTACCCGACACTCAGCTAACTTACAATCTTCTAGTTTATAAAACGAAAAAAGATTTGACTTATTACTTTTCCCACAGATTTCTTGTCTTGTTGTGAATATAATATTATGTTTTTCATCTGCAATTATCCATTTCTCACTCTTACAAAAATAAACAGCCACCCATTCGCACTCAAGCATACATATGTTCTAAGTTAACAGGTTTGCAATTTGAAATCCAAAGCACTTGATTGGAGTATATTCGGAGAGATTAATATTTGGGTCCTAGACATTAAACTCTAGAACAGCTGAATTCAAACCTAAAGCAATAAAAATAGCCTAGACACATTATAGGTTTAGATATATAGTATTTAGTACATACAGGAGTAGTATTGCCTATAAGTAGAAGTTTGCGCTTGCTATTAACTGGAATCTTTGTTCACTTGTTGAGCTTTAAATATTTGGGTATACGGAAAATTTGACCTTTAATCTATATTTTTAGCCATTATACGAAAGCTCTAAAAAAGTATGAAAAAGTGTTTAAATTGTAAAGTTGGTTTGCTATTCAATTGCTTCTTTTTATAATTCAACTTGTTTTTTTTTAACATATTGGAGTTAAATGGTTTGCCTCACACCCTTTCTATAAGCCTTTCTCCTTGAATTAAGCAATTCATCGACCAGCCAAAAGGGAATTCTCGTCAGTTTAGAAAGAACTCATCCTAATTGATATAAATTGGGATTCTCTATTCAAAAAAATATTATTGTGAAGACACAAAAACCTTTGAAACTCTGGCTACCTTTTTTCTCCATTGTAACTCTGATCCAGACTATGAGAAATTGAGGTATTTTTTTTTAATTACTTTAAATAATATGGCTATTCTAATATTAATTTAGATTCCACTGGTGTTTTTTCTCTGTGTTTGATATTGATTCACAATTTCCCCATACACCTAGATTTCTACGAGCAATCTATACAATCTTTAGATACCAACATTCGCAATAAAAGTATAAGTAATCATTTTAACGTAGATATGGCTGTGTAAAATGTTGGTTTGTCCTTCTCTGAATCGTAACAAAAAAATCCCCCTTAGATATTATCGAGCAGTTGATCTGGCGTTTGAGGATCTGTGGTCATCTCGTCGCTGATATCGCCCACCGAACTGGTGACTGTGGACAGGATCGAGGATATGGTGGCGTTGATCACCTCGGCTCCCTCGGTGGCCACCGTGCTGATGAGCGCCACAGCCGTGGTGGTGATCACGGTGGCCAGCGCTGGACTGGCGGTGCTGGTGGTGGAACTGGAGCTGCCGAGGGCCAGCATTGTGGTGTTGAGCAGGAGTGGTGCCAGCGTAGTGGCCCCCGTGGTTGGTGGACTCATCGTGCTGGTGCTGGTCAGTGGCAGCGGATGCGGTAGATGGCCATGTCCATGGCCGTGACCGTGGAACTGCTCCAGCATCGAGGCGGGCACATAGGGATACGAGGGACAGGGATTCACCAGTTGCGGACCCAGCATGCTCTCGAAAACGTATCCAATTAGCGAGCCCACGGTCAGACCCACATTGTAGGACAAGGTCATTATGTTGCCGGTTACCTCCTTGAGGGTTCCCGGCACCTTTGCCGGGGCCAGCATCATGGGCAGGCTGCCGGCCAGTCCATTGGTGATGCCCAAAGCGATGGTGAAGACAAAGGGCGCCGTTTCGCCGGAGATCACGGGACGCTGGCGAGGAGCACAGCAGAGAAGGAGGAGCGGCACCAGGACGATCCTCAGGCCGGACAGCAGGATCAGCTGGCGACGCGACCACGGATACGGACTGGCGGCCAGGATCTTGCCCACCACATCGGACGTGTTGAAGCAGAACATCAGCAGCACGGGCATCCAGGAGCGAAGGGCGCAGGACTGCACCTCCACCTCGATGCCCGGGTACAGGGAGAGGGTCACGCAGTAGGCCAAAGCGATGCACACCATGTGCGGGTAGATCACCTGCGCCACCCGCCAGCGGGTCACGAATCCCTCACGAATGTCACCCAACTTGCTCGGTCGGCAACGGCGTGGCGTGATCACGTGCTCCACCTGGAAAAATTATGATTTAAAGTTGAAAATTAAATACTCTTAAGCATTAATAATGGCTAATATTTCTTAATTAAAAATATATCAATAAAAATATTACAAAATTTTCTTCACATATGTCATTGTTAATTATTTAGAAATTAGTACTTTCTAACTATTTATGTTAATTTTTTAAAGAATGGTTAAAATAAAGTATAATATGAAATTATTAATTACTAGTGATGAAACGATGTATTATTTACGAATAAATAAATCATATTTTAGTTATAGGATCAGCTAATTTAATACTTGTTATAAACTTCTTATTCCTGGCATTATATTCTTTATAAAAAATCTTTAAAATTTATGAAAATTATTTGCTAAATAAATCATTTACCTTAAAGGCCACCGTCGTTGGAGTGGTGGGCTCCTGGGCAGGTGGTGTGGGTGGAAGTTCGGGAAGTTGTCCTAGGGCCTCGATGCTGTTCTCGCCGGCAGTCGGATTGGACAGCTCGTAGACGGGATTACTAAAACTCAGCGTATTTCCGGTGCCTGGAGGTCCCACCGCCGTGGTCGTGGTATGGGTGCCATCCATCGAGAGCACACCATACCGAGTACTACTTGGAACTCCGTCTATCTCCTGCTGCGATTATAAAATAAAAACCAATCAGAAGGTTACAGATTTTCACTTACTTTATTTGGTAAAATATATTTAGCCATTTCAAAAAGGGCATTTACTTTTGCTTAAAAATTTTTACTCATCATTACTAGTTTTAATGAATTACATTAGAAATGTCTGAGTGGTTTTTTTTAAGGATTTCCAGAAATAATTATAATTGTCTGATGTATTTAGTTATAATTTCTTGGTTTTGAATTTATAAAAAATGTTATTGGATTCTATGCAAAATTTTAAGAATTTTTTTAAATTTGTTTTAATTATAAGAATTAAAGTTTCTTGATCTCTTAAATTATGAACTTATAAATTTGACAGCTTTATCAGATTGATCATTTGTTGCAGACTCACCTCATCCGGCCGCAGGACTATCTTGGAGCAGGCCTCCACGTGGAACCGCACAAACGGCGAGTTGATGGTGGCCACGTGCAACAGGTAGCTGAAGAGTATGTAGAGCGTGGAGGTCAGAAAGAATATGACCGTGGACACGCGGTCGTTGTTGATCAGCAGCTTGGTAACGACCCGATTGGAAGACACCAGGAATCCGGCGATACTCTCGCCGGCCATCACCGCCTGAGTATATTTTTTGGGCATCATCGAGGCGAATCCGTAGAAGCTCGACTGCTGAACGGTGCAACCGATGGCGGTCAGGGCCACCGCCGACATATTAACCAAATAAGCGGTGTTGGTGGCAAACATATGCCAGGCCACCTCGCAAACGGCCACGAAGATCAGTGTGGTAAAGGAGATCATGTAGCCAAAGAGGACTCGCGACTGGAACGGAGCCACCGATAGCACTATGTTGTTCATCAGCACGGTGGCGAAGGCCACGAAGATGTAGGTCATCGACATGTCCAGGGCCACCGGGCGACCCGGAAAACGAGCCTGCCAGTAGTCCGCCGCAATGATAAAGCTGCAAAACAGAATATATATATTAGGTACTTATTAAAAACAGAACTGATATTAAATTATCACAAGAATAACTAGCAAGAGACATTTGAAATATCACAAAAATATTTATATTTTTCGTTCTTTGTTGTTTCCTTGATAAAGCATTTAAGAAATACAAACTCTCAATCCAAGGCAGTGAGATAAACCATATAAATAGCTTCAGTGTCAATTAAAAATATTATGAGAATCATTTAATCATTTTCATGACTACAAAAATTAATTATCTATCTAAAACTTTATTTTAAGGATTACAAAATATTTTGACTTAATAAAGGAAGTAAAACTTTAAACTTTTTTAAATATTAAGAAGATTTTCTGAGAACAGTTATTCCAGGCAGTTCTGAATATTAAATAATATTTTTCACAGATCTTAAAGACTTTTTTATAATTACTAGCCAATATTAATTATATAAAATTATTTTGAAGCTAAACACTTTACGGGTCTTAAGCACCCATCCTTGACATACTGCTCACCTATTGTAGGGCAAAACAAATCCAATGCCCGCTGCCAGGAGAGCTAGGTAAACGGAGTGCCTCTGATCCTTGGGGGCACGCGTATCGAACTCAGGACTGTCCATGCTGCCAGGATGCCTCGAACCCGGTCCAGTTGTGGAGTGGGTGCTCCTTGAACGCCCAGAGCCACGTCCATCCAGTGGCTCATAGGTGGTTTCCTGTCCACCCACATCCATTTCGACTCGTTCGCTTGTTTTCGTCGCGATTTCCGGTGGCAAATCTCTTTTTAATTACTGCCTGTTGTTAGACGAGTTGAGGTATTCTGGACCTTGGCATTATTTTCCAGATTGGCCACCTAGTGGGCGTGAGGACTCTGTTGTTTTTCCTGCGGTACTCGCATACAGGGTGCAGACCTATACACAAATCGATAAGAAACAGACACAAGTGGCTGTTCTTCAATTAGCCACTGGGCATTTTTACAGAACCATCTAACCAACTGATTTGGTTGCGCCCTTAATTTCTATTTATTTTTAGCACATTCACTATTCACTGAATTTATTTTAACCGCTTTTCGAGGGACATCTGCTTTGGCATCCTTCGCTTGTCAAAGTGCTGGCATTTTTCTCACCACGCCCGCCACTGCGCATGTGGCGTATGATTGATTTTACACAACAGGCCCGAAATCAGCCTGTTGTTGTTTTGTCGGCTAACTGAATGAAACTCTTCTTCTTTTCTTGTAGCATGACCAAATGCGATGTAGGCATTAATCATAAATACGATTTTTATACCGATTGATCTAAAAAATCTAAAATAAGAAACATCACCGTCCTTGAAATATACCTCAATTCAGTCTAGACTTGAACATTTTCGAATAATATTTTAATCCATTTTTATTTTACTTAGACCAAGGACCAAACTTCAATTTAAACAAAATTAATTGTGGCTCGTAACCAAAATGAACCAACCGACTGAAATTGATTATATAGTCCGAAAATCTCCAAGTGGCAATAATGTAAGTTTGTTAAACATGATCGATAACGATATTTCGGATCCATGGGCATATGGCAAGATTTTTTCTCATCTGAGAATTGAATTAAAGGAAAATCGAGTAATGGCTGAATTCAGTTCGATCAACTTATCGCAGACACTGAAATGCGGTTTCAGAGATCTCCAATCCATTAGTCTCCTGGCCAAAATGACTAAACCGAATACGGTGATTATATCTACTGAGTTGAATATTGATATTGCGAACCAAGTGGTTAAAATCCTAAAAAATGTCGAGAGAGAAATGATCATCCAGTTGAAACAGAGGGGCTTTGAGTTCCGTCTAGAATGGCAGCCCCCACGATTAGATTTTTACCTTCCGCACCAAGATCCCATCGATTTGAGCATGCTGGCTTCGCTTTCGGAACTGCAAGAAATAAGATACCTCACCATAAGAGGAACCCATTTGATTGGTTCCTTAACGACTCTATTTCGTAGTTTCGGTACTAGTGAATCCACAAAGCTACAGGAGGTGGTGGTATACAATGAGTCCTTTTTAACCAGTGAGGAAACCTCCGCCGTTGCTTCCATTGAATCCTTGAGGGTTCTAGAATGTGGATTTGCGGAACCACGAAACATCGAAGAGCTTGCAAATGCCGCCGAGCTACGGGAACTCTGCATTTCGTGTTTGCCCGAGGACTCTATAAAGGGACTCTTTGCTAAAATGGCCTCCAAAAAGTCACTGCAGTACTTGAAATTAACCGATGGTCCGCTGGATTGCGAGGAAGCTGAAGAGCTGGCTAAAATCGAGTCCCTAAAATATCTGGCTTGCAGTTTTGAAGATGTTGAGAGCCTTGAGCGGTTGGGAGACCTTCCCCATTTGGAATTTGCCTACATCACCGTGAAGCAAAGGGAATACCAGGCCTGCGTGCAAACGAAACATCTTCAAAGTTTTCTAGGCCAATGCCAAAAGGAAGGTCAGGTGAGATTTCCAGGTTGCTGCGTAACCTTCCACAAGCCCAAAGGCTCTTTAATTCTGGCTTTTAAGAGTAAGGAAACCGACGATGAATTGTGCTTTCTGCTCGGTGAGTTGGGTAATATAAAAAATCTCAAGATAAGCGGACGTCCTAGCGTTGGAAATCTGCAAGCCCTTCTTAAAAGCGTAGCTCTTGACAATAAATTGGAATTCTTGAAAATAGATATAGTCAAGGCTAACGAGATACCAATTGTGGCCCAGATGGAAAACCTTTCGAAAATAACAGTTGGCTTTTACGAAGCATCAAACTTAGAGCTACTGGCTAACTTGCCCCATCTAAAATGGCTTTCCATCACCGAACATCCGCGGGGATCGTTGGAAAATCTGTTTTACGACCTAGCTGTACGAAAGCCGCCCTCCCAACTCGAAACCCTGACGGTCCTGGGCGATGATCTAGTGCCCGAAGAACTAGCAGAAGTGTCCAGAATCGGTTCCCTGAGACGGTTGAGGTGTGGCCTTGTGCACACCTCCAATGAATGGTCTTTAACGCAGCTGAGTGTCTACTCCATGCTGGAGGAGTTGAACATTAGATCGAATGGAAGTGGTTCATTGGACAAGTTATTCATGGCCATTCAGGCCATCACCTACTTCCGTTGCCTAATCGTCCAAGGCTGCCGTTTGTCCACCAATGAAGTCAGAGCCATCAGGGGAATCCAGAACCTAAAGACCCTTCATTGCGGAATAGAGAACGCCAGGGATATTGGTATCCTGGAACGACTGCCATTGCTAGAGGAGTTAATCATCAAAGGTATTACCCTAACCAATCGAAATCCTTTAGCTTTATTGGCCCACAAAGAACGACAAACTCTCAAGAAGCTGGTCATCAAGAGTAGATCTTTGGGAGTATACGATTTCAAAAGCTTAGCTTTGATTTCGTCTCTTAAATCGCTCGACTTTATCATCCACAATGCTCGTAATATCGGATGCTTGGCTCTTCTCAATTTAACCGAATTAATTCTGAACTGCCCTCAAAAACTTACTATCACGCCCCTTATCACCGCTCTGCTGGCCAAAGATATCCATGTGCTCTCCACCTTTAAGTTAACTAACAAGCTTTTGAAATGGAAACCCACTCGACTGCTTATGCAAATTAGATCATTAAGGAATTTAAAAATTGGCTTTAGCGATCTCGGTTGCTTTAATCTGGTTTCCAAAAAAACGGATCTTGAGATCCTGGAAATTAAAAATAAAAATTTCCGAAGCAAGGAGATACTAAAGATCTTAAAAAACTGCCGAAAACTACGGGAAATCCATTTTCCACAAAGAATTAAACAAATAAACACTGAATTTATAAGCCAGTGCATGGATATTTTGAAGACTGTTAGAAATCCAAAGGAACAGAGCCCTTTACAGATGTATTTTCACAGCCTGCATGGGGTTTCTTTAGAACAGGTAATTACAAAACTAGACGCCTTGTAAAACGTAAAAATTTTTTTTGTTTTCCAGCAATATAGCGTTGATGAATCCTACTTAATCCTTAATATTAAAGAGCGTGCGCCCTTCGATGATTTCAATGATGAAATATTCGATGAACAAACGGATGATGCGCCCCAATATTTCTTTGAAAGTCCCGAATCAGTTTTTGAAGATTAATTACTTTTATACAATACGTAGACATATATTTAATAACGGATAGCTCTCATGTAACAATCTTTTGGTTAATATAACATTATTTTATAAAATTAAATTCATCAAGCCAAAAAAGCAAATTCTAATTTTGTGACCAGAAATTAAAGCATATAAGAAAATGTAGCTAACAAAAACAATAGTTCAATAAACAATGAGAAGTTTTGAAAACAACAATAGATCATTTTTGTTATAGAATATTTTGTGTTTAAATAACCTCAACGGAATGAGCTGTAATTACTTTGTTATATCGTATTCTTTAATAAGGGAATATAGTATGCAGTCGTTATTATTGACTTTTTTTCGATGCATCATCATAGCTGGGTGGCAAGTTCTAAAGATAACAAAATATACCAGTTACAAGTTGTTCAATATGAATTTATATAATACATACGTTATAAGAAGGTGGTAAATCGCTGTTTCCTGATCCACTGGGTCTGCCTTGGTTGTAGGGTGTGTTATACGCACTTGCTGCAGCTTCTGCTTCTTTGGAATCTGTTGGAAATATAAAGCAAATTATATATTACATAGTTCACACATCAGTGATATTTATATGAATATTATATTTATACTACATTAAGTTGAAACCATTACGATTCACCTTTCGCAAATTATGCCTATGGTATTAGAGCTGGAATCAGGACAACACACATAGGTCTTTGGATTGGATAGAAATAATGATGAGTGCTGCCAAATCTTGCTACTAAAGGTACGCATTTTGTGGGTAGTAAAGAAAAATTTAAAGAAGAAACCATTAAAAAAGTCACTAAACCAAAGGGGGTAGACTAGACTACTTAAAGACTCGGCTTTTGTTAGTATTTGCTTTGGGCATAGGTAACATCAAAACAATAAATCTTACTTGTCGGGATGGCTATTTGAGGTACAGTAGTTTGCATTTTATTACACTGTAAAATAGGTCAAAAGAAAATGTTTTCTTTTAGGATTGGAAATCAATTTTTTGTTTGGTTTAGTAGTGTGTTAAATCGAGAATTGGATATTAGGTGAAATAATTAATTAAAATTTGTATATGGGGAAATTAAAAAATTCATAAGCTGGTCTAAATAAATTATTGCAATTAGAACGTTCACCTAAAAAATGTTTATGTTTATGGTTTTACTACAATTTAACACAAAAATTTATTTTTGCAAATTTTCTATACAAAAAACGGTAGAGGAAATTCCAGTTGTCTTGATTAGTTTGTAGATCATGCAATTCTTAAGACTTCTTCATTAAACTATAAACTTGCTAAAAATTTATTAGTTGTTGCGTTTTAATGGGAAATACTATTTAAAGTTTCTTGATTGTTTCCACGGTTTTCATGCTATTTTTTCAACGGCTTTAATGAATTTATATAGATAGGTTTAAAGGAATTCTTGCATTTTCTTCTCCTTATGCTTTTGTTATTTTTTCTTCTGCGGGAATTAAACCAATTTAATAAAGTGCAATATGGGAGAGGAATGTGAGATAAATGATGAGGATAATAACGAGTTATACTCACTTCCTGGCGGCAGGCTGAAGCCCATAAAGCTGGCTCCAGATGCAGCGGCTCCTCCGGCTGCTCCTGCTGCCTGTTGACCCTGGGGCGGTGGTCCACCCGGATAGCCATTAGGTTGCTGAAATCCTCCGGCCTGTTGACCCGGAGGTCCACCCGGATAGCCACCAGGATATCCATTCGGTTGCTGAAGTCCCGGGGTGTTAAATCCGCCGGGAACATTGCCGTAACCGCCATAGGGCTGCGGTCCATTGTATGTCTGAGCCGGGGTGGCATATGGCGGTCCTGGTGGACAGTTGGGAGCGCATGAGGCGTACGGCGGTGGCTGGACATAGCCACCGGCCCATCCCTGCGGTCCGTAGCCCGGCTGCTGCTGTTGCTGCTGCTGCGGCGGCGGTGCTGAAAAACCATACCAATTGGGTTCATTCGACGACGGTGCCTGCGGCTGTGGTTGTGGTGCTGGCTGCTGAGCCGGTGGTGCTAGGACGAGAAAGAGAGCAGTGCCCCGGTGGGTTAAACGAAGCGAGTGCGGAGCGTGAATTTCGTAGGTAAGCCGGTAAGCCGGTGGATTGCCAATTCGCGATGCAGTGCCAGAACAAAAGCCGAGTGTTGGTTGGTGGGTGGAGTGCCCGCCTGGTTGACTTACCGATCCCCGGATACGGCGGCGGGTTGTCGCTCATGAAGACCGTATTCGGCGCCGGGCCGCTGAAGGCATCGTGCTGCGGCAGCCAGCCGTAGTAGCCGGGCGGCGGCTGATACGCCGGCAGTGGTGCCTCATTCCAGGCTCCAGCCGGTTGGTACGGTGGCGGATCATCACCGACCAGACCGCCGCGATGGTAGTTGTTCATCGCCGTCTTGGCGGAGCGGAGCAGAGCCTGGCCATATCTATAAAAAAAATGGTAATACGGTGAGTTAGCAAAGGAACGCTTTAAATTGGTATACTAAAAGAACGTACTGTTGACAATCTAATATTTATCGGGATTAATGGAACTGATTTGGTTTAAAAACCAAAATTTCCGCAAAATATCTTAGAAAATAATTTTATCCAACGACATTTCAAGTAATGTTTACTTTAAATATTTAACTTTTGAAATTTTTAACAACATTTACTAATTTTAAAAATAAATCAAATGTAAATCAAAATAATGTTTTTAAATTGGGAAAAAAAAATAAATCTCTTAAAAAATAGTACATTATACGAATTGTTAATGAAGGACCTTAAATTTGGAAACTAAACGTACCTACTCTTGTCAATCTAATATTTCTGGGGATAACTAACTAACTTTAAAAACAAGTGTACATTTTTTAAATAAAAAATAATATAAATCAAATAAATTTTTTAAAAAAACTTAAAAATAATACATTGTAGGATATACATAGATCAAAATAATATGTATAATAATCAATCTCAACGTTTAACATACATTTTAAACTTTTTAAAGATCTTTAATGATCATAATTATATTCTATCTTGTGAAACATAAGTTTTCGGATCCTAAAAAGTGTACTAAAATATGTACATATGTACTTAGAACCAATAAACCTATCTTTAAGGGTTTTCAAAACATAAGGATAGGTATATAATCCCAAAATTAGCTTACTCGATGGCGCCGCCGGCCTTGAAATGGAGCTTGAACTTGACCTCGCCCACGTAGTTTCCATTTGGCTGGGCGCGCACCTTTCCCTTGATGTAGTTGGCCCCGAAAACAGGCTGTTCGATCTCCACATCGGAAAGGGCAACGAAGGGAGCACTGAAGGACTGCATCGCATCCGAGGACTTCTTGCTATTGAAGATCATTCGATGGGAGGTAAGGTAAATCCTGCCCCCCTTGGATCCCTTGAAAATGGGGTTATCCTGACCGGAAAACTCCATGGAAACGCTGTCGCTGTGCAGCAGGATGCTATAGGCGGAGGAAAATATAGAACATTAGCCGGGTTCTTATCTTATTTCCTATAAATAAGCATCCACACGTCAGTGTTTACATTCATGACGTCAGGATGTCTCCACAATTTTCGGTGGTAAGTTAAGGACTTTTCCGGTTACTTACTACTCTCCCGCATGGATAAGCACGCCATTGTTGGCGTGGGCCGTATTAACCGACATATCAAGTGGTTTTTCCGACTATTTTAACGGAAATTTGCAAGAATTTCACCGAACTACGTTTTGTTTTTCTCAAATGACAGCTGATGATTCATAGGGAAAAGTGTGGCAACGCCAAAGGGGGATATGCTATATTCAATCGATATGCTATCGATATCGATATCGCAGGGTGACCAGTTCGAGCAGGCGCTCATCTCTATTTTTTTACCTTACCACTACCTGTCGTACAATTATTGGGGGCGTTAATATGCGTAAGTGATAAGATAGTGAGTTAAAAAAGCTCTCAAAAAGTGCAGCAAAATGAAAGGAAGAGAGGAGAGGCCCTGCAAAGGTCGAGAATCTCTGTATTTTGGTTCCAATAAACTTTTATCAGCGGGGCACTTACGCCATTTTGGAGCCCTGCCACCCCCAGGTTTTCTGGGTCTATCGAAAATTTGGGACCCCCCAGCTGATTGGCTCTTTTGTTTTGCTAGCCGGCTTCGTTCTGGGATTTCCCCATTTTTGAAACATTATCTATAAATCTAACTATTTTGCAGTACCGCTCTTTGGGACCATGCCGAATGGCGTCAGTTTGCCAAATCACCCGAATTTCCTCAACCAACTGGCGGCGGCCATTTCCACGGCTGCCTCGACGACCTCTGTCGTGTCGGGAAATCCCTCGTCGCCGCCCAAACAAAACCCGAACAAGATGGTTAAACCCCAGCAGCAGCAAACGCAGGGCAGTGCGCCGATGGATCTGGAAAACGAGAACGAACACTCCACGGATGTCAGCTCCACGACGGCCCACAAGGAGCCCAAGCTGCAGGCCACATCCTCTACGATCTCTCTGCCGGATTCGGCGCAGCTTTACCTGAACGGGCTGATGCACGCGCCTCCGGGTTATCTGTACTTTCCGGGTGGAGCTCCAGGTGCTCCTGGAAATGCTCCTTCAACAGGAGGCTCGGGATCCACACCAGCATCTACAGGAGGCAACACCGCCAATGCCCAGATGCTAATGGATCCCACGGCCATGATGGCAGCGGCCATGCAGCAGATGCAACAGATGCACTATGCAGCGGCAGCTGCAGCGGGAATGACCACGGAGGCGGGAGCAGGACTGGAGGGCACACTCAGTGCGGGTAAGGCATTAAAACTAGAGCACTGCAATGAATTATTTTCAATTTTTTGTTTTATATAAAAGAATTAATTAGAATTTTTAGGGCCGTTTTCTCGTCCGTTTGTTAAATTTAAAGTAAGGTTACCCCTGAAAATCGTATGGGATAGAATTGAATGAATGAATGGCATGAATTCCGAAATAATTCAAACGACAATTTCTTTTGAAGAAGAAATGGCCATAATTTTGTGATTATTTTATTTACTAAGCAGTTAACATTGATTTCTTAAAAATTTTCCACTTTCTGTTCTCAAAAGAAAGCACAAAACAATCTGGCATATTCAAAAAATTCATAAAAATTATTCATTTATTTATTCAATTCGAAATTAATTACAAAAACATTCAATTTATTTCACATAGAATTTAATTAAACAAATCAGAAATTTCATGGCATAACATAACAAAAATTTAATGATTCAAGCAGCGCTCTAATTTAAAACCCAGAGAAATAATAAAACCCTTTTCCAGATGGCGTTACACCAGCTGGCCTGAAAGAGGTGATCAAGACCAAGAACTGCATCCTGTTTCCGCCCAATCCGAACGCTCCACCACCCACAATTAGGGAGCGACCGCCGGGCTGTCGGACAGTCTTTGTCGGTGGACTTCCCGAGAACATCACCGAGGAGGTGATCCGTGAGATTTTCGAATCGTGCGGAGAAATCACCACTTTGCGCATGTCCAAGAAGAACTTCTGCCACATACGCTACCGCCAGGAGGGCGCAATAGACCGGGCCATCTACCTATCCGGCTATCGGCTGCGTATATCGGCCCTAAATGAGCCACCCAACTTTGGGCGCCTGCATGTGGACTATGCGCAGGCGCGGGATGATCAATATGACTACGAGTGTCGGCAGCGGCAGCATCAAAGGGAGCAACGCCACAGGGAGCGCATGTCGATGGACAGGATGCGGTCGCAGTCGCCGCCACCAATACCGCACTATACGGACCACGAGGCGACGGCCGTGGCGGAGCATTTGCGCACCAACGAGACCTTCGTGAAGGCCATCCAGACGATCACCGCCTGGTTGGAGCGGGGAGATTGCACCAAGCGGAATGCCAATGTCTTCTACTCGATGATCCAGAGCACTCACGCCCACGTAAGAAGACTCCATGCCGACAAGCTGCAACTGGAGGAGGATCTGAAGAAGGCCAGGGACAGCTATCGCAACCAAATGGGCACCATGTCCACGCAATGTAAGTGTGCCGGCCTTCGAGGCTCAGAGATCAGCTTTCTTAGCTCTAGTCTAGACGGGAATTTAGGCGCCGCTCCCACTTTGAAATCCTATTTTTCCGTTTTTCGTTGCGCCCGGGTTAGCCTCTTAGCGTCTGTATATCTGAACAATCTACCAGCGTACTACACACCCACACTCAAACACACCATTCCCGCCCAACACACACACACTCTTTAGCAAATCTAGTCATTGAATTATTAAATGACAAAAAACCGTCTAAAAGTTGCTCGCCAAAAGTCGAAGGAGCAAGACTAATGAATCCAAGCAGGATCAGGTAAAGACCAGCCAAAAAAGGACAAAGCCCAAAGGCGCCGCACAGCGAGAAAGTCAGTTGATGAGGCGATCATCGGGATTTATTGGTTCTAAATCTGTTTAAAATGTTAAGCGTTAAATATACTCAACTAAAATTATCAGGGAATCAAACATAAACATTTACTAGCCATGTTAAAATGTAAATTTAATGAGTTATATTACTAACCGCTGACTAAAAATCATGCTTATCGTTATATTTATAGTATATCTTTTTGCAAAATCATTTAATACCTTACTATAATAATACCAAAGCTTAAATATTTAATTTCAAGAACAGTTTGATTCCCTGAATATAATTATAATTTCTGTTTAATCAGTCATATCCTAGTCATACATTCTACATTCTGTAGCCAAGTCAATTACCAATTTTGTATGCACCACGTTGATCGCCCCATTCACCGATTCGTTCCACTGTGCGGCTGATTCTCACTCACTTCCACTGTGTCTCGACACCACCACAAAAGTCTCAAGTCTTATTTGGCCCAAAGGTTTGTAAGCCGCAAGGCAGAGAGCAAATTCAAGCAATCCATTGGTACATGAAAAGGAACCAACTTCCTTTGTAGACCCAAAAACTGTCAGACTCTCGGACAAACATAAAGATAGGTAATCACGCTGTTGTATTCTCTCTAGATTGTTCCTACATAATAATAATAATATCAACCTTAAATAACCGTAACTATTTTACATAAATAATTGCTATGCGAGGGTCTCTCCTGTAGTTTAATTCAATTTTTCATTTCTCACTCATTTTATTCGCAAAAGAAAATGTCTAGTTTGACAAAAGGTGAAGAGCAAAACTGAAAAATAATCCAAAAAAAAAAAAACAAAACAAAAAAATACCCTCTGTCCTCCCTTAATATTATTATATATTATTGCATTATTGTTCAGTCACTCAGATTGAAAAAGTGTTCAATGCCGCTAGTCACAAGAAGGTTTGGGACCATTTCACCAAAGCCCAAAGAAAAAACATCGATCAATGGAAGAAGTTAGCCACGGTACGTACTAAAATGTTCAAATAATCAAATACGAACAACTTCAAAGATGTTGCAAAATGTGTATAAAAACCAAATGCCCATTTACTGTCCAAATACTTTTGATTCATTATATCGTATCTCTCGTTTTCATGTTGTTGTATCCGTTCTTATTGATGTTGTTGTTGTTGTTATTATTGTTGTGGTGTTGCCGTAGATGTTTAACCATTTTACTAACCCGTTTTTGTGTTATCAGTTTCAGTCAGCATGTCACCCATTTACCCGTCCTATATAATCATAACGTACGATTCCATTGCTGACGCTTATAGCTGCTAATTGCTCTTTATTAATTGTTAATTTCTTCGTATTTGTCCTGTGCATTAATACTTCATTTAGCTGTTTGTACGTACGAATATCAAAATTTCCATGTCACTTAACAAAAGAATTAAACCATTTAATATCGTTGTAATTTGCAAGCTTTCCCAAATGTATTATTTATCGACTATCATTAAACTTTTAAATGTAGTGTTAGAAATACGAATAAGATTATCGAAAGGGAAACTGTTTAAGAATTAGTAAATTAACTTAAAAGTTTAAAATTTATTTTATAAAATATAACAACTATTTTTTAAACAATTTCCCCTTCATAATCCCTTTATAAGTCTCTTTCTATCAGGTCTTTTCACATTCTTAGCTTTCGCTCTTGATCTGTAATGCTTTAGTCTATCTTTTCTTGGCTTTAAACTATCATTTGTTTATGGACTCTCTATTTTTAACTAAGCATTTGCATAACATTTCCGATAAGCTTTAAAAACTTTGAACTAAACGTAAACTTTTGCCAAGTGTCCACAAGCCTTCGAGTTTCCATTGGAAATTTAATTTGATGAGAAATGTTGAGGGTTTGATGGGCACTCGGTCAAATCGATTGGTTGTGGTAAATAGCAAAAGGAAGAACTAAAAACATTGCTGCTGAGAAACATAATTTGTGCAACAAATACAAATTAATTATTAATAGAAAAGAGAAATTAATCAAAACAAATTCTAAAACTTTTTGAAAATGTGGCGAGGTAAGTAAGCGGGACCATAACAGTGTCGTAAGACAGGAAACAAATTTGATGCATTCTTTAAATACACAAATTTTATAGCTAGGTTATAGATTTACAATCCTGTAAGCAATGGAACTGAAACCAAAGAAACCCATTCAACTGATAGAAATAAAAGACTAATTAAAGTTCTTTTCGCATGCCATGCAGGAACTTCGAACTGTCCAGATCACCGACGATGATGAAATGGAAATATCCGACGATGAGCGGGACTACGATAGACGCGGACCCAGCTCCAAGCGAATTCGCTACGACAGTGAGGGTTTAAAGGTAAGAAAATGGTTAAATCTATTGGATTTTATTTGTATAAAATAATTACACTTTAAAGCATTCACTTATCCATGTAATTTACCATTTTTTCAGGACGAGAACGACTCACTGCGCTGTCAGCTGGAGGCCATACGACATGAGATGACTCTGGAGCGCAGTGATTATGTCCAACGTGAGAAACAAATAAAGGTGCTCCAGGAAACCATCCGCAACATGCAAACTCAGCTGCTGCAGACAAAGCTGCGCGAACAGAAGGACACCAAGGTTATTGAGCAGCTGGAGCGCAATCTCAAGGATGCCGGCGTTAAGCAACTTCTCTTGAAGACCAAGATTAAGGAGACTGTAGACAAGTTGAAGGACAAGGAGGCCAACAGTACCGGTGCCTCGAACGCTTCCAATGCCTCGAATCTTGACTACAGCAGCGGAGATTCGTGCAGCCAGGAGGACACGGAGATCATCCGCAACCAGCAGCAGACGGAACCGGAAATAATTGATATCGACAAGGTGGACGATGATGTGCGCATCATAGAGCACCAAAGTGGTGTGGTGGAGATTCACGAGATCGAGGATGATGAAAAGCAGGAGACTGCTAAGGAGTCAACGGAAAGCAAAGCAAAGGAGTCAATTATAGAAAGTAGTTCCAAGTCAAATAGCGAGGTGACTATAAATAAAACCAACACGTTGCACACACCGCCATCGCCCGGGGAAGAGGTTTGTGAAAATAAAATATATAAATAAGAAACTATTCATTAAGAAATCCATTTAGAAGTCAAAGGAAACGTATAATTATTACATCGTTGTCCTAAAAATATCCCAAACTGATCTCTAATATTTTTCGTCTTTATTTTAGGTCACCTTCAAGTCCCTGGTCCTTGCAGAAGCCAAGATAATTGCTCTAGCCTCTGCCTTCTTAGTGCTACATCCCCATGGCGTTGATATTGCCAACATAGCCAGTTACTTAAGCGGAATGCTGTGCAACAATGCTGCCCCCAGTAACCATGATGATCTTGCCAATATACTCGGAAAGTACACAAATCTCTTTAAGACCGATCAGGCCAAGTGGAGGTTCTGTGGCTTCAGCGAACCTACGGAATCTCAGTCGGAGTCAAAGTGAGGTGGAGAATGCGGAGTGTGGACTCTCGAATAAGATGATAATTGAATGCTTTAATTATGTTACAACTATATCATAATGCATAGCGAGTAAGCGGGAAGAAAAGTGAAATGTTAACCAAAGAAAGACGACAGTTTTTCGATGCAATCACAACTTAATGAGACCAGTTCCAGTTTTAAGGGCAAGTACTCGTAGTTAACTCTATCGCAAGAAAGACACCACAAACTAACTACCGTTTCAATTATTTAAATAACTCATACACTTAAGCTAAATGAATTCAATATATACAAAATATATATACATCAATATTTTAAATAAGCTGAGAGGCCGAAAGTCGTGTTGCTAATGTTGAAGATGAGGCGAAAGAATGGAACCAAATAAATTTTATGCTAAACTACGTGTGATTTTCTTTGATTCGAAAGGGGTAGCAAATAAATCATCGATTTCTATTCAGTTTTATTCGAAAAAAATTAAAATTTGAACTGGGCTCTAATCAAGCCTTTAAAAAGACTTTACAATTGACAAATACAAATTTTTGCTGACTAATAAATCCGTTTTAATTCAGTCTTCTAGAAAATAATCAACTTCCTAAGTAAGGCTTACCCTACCCAACATTGCACCGCATAAAATACGGCAAATTCCAAAGGCAAGCTGCTTGCAATACAATTTATGGATTAATAAAGATATTTTAAGATTTCCATATTTATTTTTAAAATTCGATTTGATTTCGGTTATATCACTGGAATTAAATTAACTTAATTTATTATTATCGGACTTCCTGACTCAGACGGTAACAATTTTATGTTAATTTAAATAGTGTTGGCGAATGTTTGCAATGTAATAATTTGATTTCGATTTAATTTTTGGAGATTTTTTTACAAAGATCCCTTAATCTAAAATGTATAGTAAAATTGAAAAAAAAAGAGATGTTAATTATTAAAATTACTGCAAAATTTGCAGTAATAGAAAGTTAGGAAGGGAAAATAATGTATTTTAATAATTAACATCTCTTTTTTTTAATTTACAACATTTTAATATCTTTGCTCTCCAAAAATTAAATCAAAATTCAAATTTGCAGTGCAAATTCTATAATTTTATAATCCCTTTTTAAAATCTTCCTTAGTATCTGCTGAGTAATAATTCATGGATTTGTTGAAATTTGCTATTATCCTTCCATCACATTTGGTTTTTATCCAGCAGGGAACTTCAAAATATTACGTGAAAAGCTTACGTTGCTTGCGTAAGCCGTTATAAAGTGCGCGAAAAGAAGCTGCGCGTCCTCTGTCAAGGACAATGCCCAACAGCATCCTGCCACCCCCTGTCCTGCAGCCCCGCCTCCCACGCCCTTTGCACTAGTATATCTGTGACGTGATGAAATTCCATACTCTGGCTTTGAATTTCCCCAATATTTGTGACGTCAACGGAGCGTTTATCGTATTTAAAGCGCGCTTTGAAATTAAGCATAAACCGTAACAACAACAACAAATTTACTGAGAGATGAAAGTACAGCAACAACAACACCAGCAGAGGGGAGATGAAAGAGAGAACACGAGCGAAAATTTCCCAAAGAAAGAACAAAGTACTACAGTACACTGGAAAAAATCAGATCAAAATATTGTTAAATGGTTATTAGTTAGTTTACATTTATAGTTTTCTGGCATTGATAGCCTTTGCTTCAAAAGAATACAAAATATAATATTTAAAATAAAAAATAATAAAAGTACAAATCATTATTTTATCTTCAATTTGTTTAAAATAGATTTTTTTAATAAATCTTAAAGTTAAATAATATGTTTTGATATTTTTGTCGGTTTTTTTTTTTATTAATTTAAATTTTTTTAAGTTTTTTAATAGCAAGTTCTAAAGTTGAACTACAAATTTCCTTATTTTTAATAAAATACGATGGATGTCATTAATCCGCTTTAAATTGGAATCCGAAAAATATATATTATCTTGAACCTTTTATTATAAAATATTTAAGTTACACCAATGGTTTCGATACTTTTAAACAAGTATACTATGTAGAATATCATAGGGTTAGTCACCATATTAAGTAATTTTTTCTCCATGTGTATCGGTGTGTTCCGAGTGCTTTTCTGCCGCTCTGCCACAGCCAACGTCGACGTCGATGAGGGAGGCCCGTCTATATCAACGCTATCAGTCGTTTTTGCGAATCCGAGGCGCGCGGTTCTGTTCCAAAAAACCCGGAGCAGGATTCCAACAGAATAAACCACTGATTTTTTCGTACATGTCCATGTAACGGTGCCCATTCAGCGTGTGTTTTATGTGCGTGAATGTGAACTGTAATTTCGTCCGCCGCTGTATATTTTAATATAATTACGTGCACTTTCTTTGTGCAAAATAAGAAACAGGAAAAAATCGGGAAAAAAAGCAAGCACTCTCCTTTCCCGCTCTGTCGAAGGACAATTCAAGTTCACGAATTGGGAAGCTGCGAAGGCAACAACAAAGCACGTGTTTTTGTTTTTTTCGGCGGGTAAGTTTGAGTTTCACCCGGTCTTTTAAACACAGTTTGAGAGCCACTGACGTTTCAAACAGGAAAATAAAATTCAGAATAAAAAATTTGTACGAAAGTGGCTAGCAAAGTGATAAATTAACGGGTAGAGTGAAAATAGAAAAATATTTGAAAATAAATAGAGAAACCCGAATCCAATTTGAGTACATTTTTTATTAATGTGAAACCCGTGTGAGAAAAATATGTTCAAAATTTTCCATTCATTTCAAAATATTGAAAAAAACAATAATATTATGCGACACTTATTTGCAAAAGTGACTACTATGAATATTTATTTTTTGCATTTTTGCAATAATATTTATATTTTAAAAACACTTAATAGATAATTGAAATATACAAAAAATGAATAAATTATGAGACTTTTGGCGCCATAATATATTTTTAAAGCTTGTCACGAGAAATTGAAAGTCGTACAATAAATCAGACAGATTAACCACAGTATAGGAAAACATTCAGGAAACTCGTTGAACATTTGAAAACATTTTTTTGACGTCAAAGTTTAAACCGAAAATGTTCTAATGAGCGTCAACCATAAACAAATATTTTGTTTGCGCATAAGTAAGAGTATACTGTATAAAGAATTGAATACTTTTTGAGTAGGCACCATAAATAGAAAGAAAAACTGTGTAAATGTGACATAAATTTAAAAGAACAAAGAGGGAGAAATTAACTATTTCTAAGCCGCTTTTCATGTATTTTCTGTGTCATAGGGCTAAATGGGAAATGCTGCACTCAGTCAATCAGTGCATTCTACTTTTACAGAAAAAGGGGAACAGCTGAGGAGTAGGTGTCACGGGTTGCAGTCCCCTAGTCTTAACACTTCCCATTTAAATGTTTTGACAGTCAACAATGATTAATTAGGGACTTCACCATGCGTTTCGGAACTGAACTATTTATATAGAACCGACTGGAGAACATGTTATTGCGTTTTCGATGGGGGGAAAAGCTTTGTGCTGAGTTAAGCGTAAATTTGATGAGACACTGGAACGTGCCAAATGTCAGCGTGGGCTATAAACAAATTCGATTCATAAAATACACGATCTACACACTTATTTATGGCATGATCCCACTTTGTGCGAGTTAAATTCCCGAACATAAGTTTCCCCAACCGCAAAGCACTTCCAGGTATCTACCCAGCAATCTGAAAAAACCCCCCGGCAAACCTTTTTGATTTAGTTTTACATATGCAGCTCGAATCTGATTTTGAAATGGGAATCGGTATTTTAAAATTGAAAAACAGTCACGTACGTTGGGGATTCGTGAGCAATTCCCGACTTTTTCTGCCCGAAACTGAAAGCATTCTCCTTATGTTTAAGTTACTTTTTTCAAGATCGACTGATAGGCTGATAGAACACCTAACGAATGCCTTGGAAACAATTTCATTGCTGATAAGTAGATGGGATCGATTGCATGAGCTTTACGTGCACTTTAACTTGTAGACCCTGATCCAAAAAAAAGGTAGCCATTTCTCAAGTAGGGCGGTATAATTCAAAAGCAACAAAGTTTGCGATATTTTTTATCAAAGCTATTAAGTTTTTAGACTATTAGTCGGGAAAATACATTATTGATAATAATATTTCATTTTTAAAAGCGGCCAGGAAAACCAAGAAAATTTTAGATCATTTTTAATAATATTATAATATGTACTTTAAAGATTTTATATAATCATCAAAACTTAATAACTCACTTAATAAGAATTTGCAAACAATTTTTTTGTTGGCTTAGGAACGCAAAACCTTTGACTAATAAGCGGAACGAATAAGTAGTCAACATTAGTCAGAATTTGTTTACACTGCTCTCCCTTTTTCCCGCTTTTCAATATTCGGCACAAAACTCGGCTAGTTCATTAAAGTCAATTCATTTGCATTTCTTTACGAGCAAGTTGGTTATCCGCAAAAAAGTTTTTACAGTTGCACATAGCAAAGCAAATCCAATTAACTCGGTCTAGTTCAAGGGCAAATTAACTATTTATATACTGTTGAAATATCTAGTAAATAACTAACCTAAACGGGGATTTCTTTTTGGCGAAATGGAGATGCTATCCCGAAATGACAGACTCAATTTGCATACGGAAAATTGGCGGGGGATTTGAGATTTTCCCCAGCCACAATGAAAACAAACCAGTAACGGAAAAATTAACATCACGTGTCGCGACAGGTAATTGACAACAAGGGGGCGGAAAGGTGGTTGTAATTCAATCGAAGCATTGTGACGTCAGGGAACTGGGGCGTTTCACCTGCAAAATGTAAACAAACTGCAGTGACCCACACATAGATACGATTACAAGATACAGATACATTCCGGTGGCCTTGGCCATGTTGTTGACTCATTTGTGTGATTGGCTTTTAATCAATGAGAGGTGTCGACAATTATTTGCATAACGAAAGTGAAATACGAAATTTCTCTGTCAAGTTCAAGCAGCTAATTTCGCCCATTTCCCCCACATATAATCTCTTAACTTATATATTTTTTCGTATTTAAATCAACGCACTGGCTAGAAGAAATTGTCTAAAAATAGTGCGTAAGAATTTTCAGTGACGTCAAGTTGGGAAATCAAAGGCGCATAAAAAGTTGGCGACACCCACACATTGGCTGGGAGAATTTGAGATATCTTCCTGCATCCAAAGAAGAAGACAAATTTTCAGCAGAGAGAAAATGCTGGGGAATTTATTGCTAGAAATATTTTTAGATTTCTGCCTGGTATATGTATCTATAGATATGCATAATTTCCAATTCATAAAATACATTTTACATATTAAAAACCAAGCCCCTTCGTTGATAGATAGCAATTGTCAATATTTACTTTCTACTGAGATGAAAGAGTTCAATACCTTTTTGGGGTTTTTAATTTTACAACTTTGACA